TACACGTGACCACCTCGCCCCCATTTTCTCTGCTCTCCATAGGCTACCTGTTCGTTTTCAAATAGACTTTAAGCTCCTACGAATGTTATTTTATACACATTTGCGTTATTACATTACCAGCTCAGTAGCCTGGTGGGAGAGCGTCCGCCCTGGGTCTGGGATATCAGGGTTCGATTCCTGGTCGGGTCATACCAAAGTCTCTATAAGAAAAAAAGCTTTAATGGGTTGGATTGGAGGGGTTAAACCACCAAATAGTTCCCGAGCGCAGCCACCGCTGCAGCTCACCACTCCCCTCCATGGGGATGGGTCAAATGCAGAGATGAATTTCACCAGTGTGTGATGATGACGGGACTTTAACTTCATTATTCCAGCAGAAATGTTTTATTTCTACCACATTAGACCCCTGCATGCCCTGGACGTTCTACATTTCACTGCTGCTGGAGAAATCCATGCTGTATGAAGGCTCATCAGATATTATTGCATGAAGAAGAAGAAGAAGAAGAAGAAGAGAAAAGATCTTTTCTATAGCGCCTCTCAAGATAAAAATCACGAGGCGCTTCACAAAAACAAAAAATGTAAAAATATGAAAAAGCATTTAGAAAATGATTAACAATATATTTAAAATGAGCATAAAATAGACAATTGTGATTAAAAATGTTAAGAAAGAGAGAGAGTGAATAGGAAATGGGGAAATCAGTGGATCCTGGTTAAACAACTCACAGCTGCTCTTGATGAACATAACATCTATGATAGCTTCCAGGGTTTCTTAGGGTCTCTAATGACCTTCTGGCTCACAGTGATGCAGGGGACTGTTCTGTTCTGGTCCTGCTGGACCTGACTGCAGCCTTTGACACTGTTGACCATCACCTGCTACTGGAGAGGCTGAGAGACTGGGTAGGCCTATCAGGATCTGCTCTGGAGTGGTTCTCCTCTTATCTTTCTGAGCGCTCCTTTTCTGTGGCCGTCTCCAAGTTTAGGTCCTCCACCTCCTCTCTTACCCATGGTGTCCCACTAGGTTCTGTGCTGGGGCCTCTGCTCTTCCTCCTCTATCTGCTTCCTCTTCAGCACATCCTGAGCTCCTTCAAAGGAATCTCCTACCATCTTTATGCAGATGACATCCAACTGTATATCTCCTTTAAGCCCCATGAGATGTCTAAGCTGCAGCTGTTACACACCTGCTTAGACTCTATCAAAACCTGGATGGCTGGGAGCTTTCTACAGCTGAATGAAGATAAGACTGAGATCCTCATCTGTGCCCCAGACAAGCTGGTTCCCAAAGTCAGAGACTCTCTTGGTCAGCTTGCTTCTCACACCAAACCTTCTGTCAGGAATCTTGGTGTGACCTTTGACCCAGCTCTCACCCTGGATTCTCATGTCAGATCTCTTTTTGGCTCTTCCTTCTTCCATCTCAGGAACGTTGCTAAGCTGAGTCCCATTCTGTCCCGCTCTGAACTTGAGACAGTTCTCCACACCTTCATCTCCTCACGCTTAGACTACTGTAACTCTCTTTTCACGTGTCTGAGCAGAACCTCCCTGAACCGTCTACAGGTGGTTCAGAACGCCTGTGCTCGGCTTCTGACCAAGTCCTCCAAACACACCCACATCACCCCGCTTCTCCTCCAGCTTCACTGGCTGCCAGTCAACTTCAGGGTTCATTTCAAGATCCTGGTTCTGGTCTATAGGGCCTTACATGGACAAGCACCATCTTACATTGGTGATCTTCTTAGTCCCTACACCCCCAGCAGGTCCCTGAGGTCCAGTGATCAAAGCCTACTGGTTGTGCAGCACCAGGCTAAAGGTCAAAGGTGACAGATCATTTGCTGCTGTGGCCCCCAGACTCTGGAACTCTCTCCCCCTGAGCCTGAGATCAGTGGACTCGGTGATCTCCTTTAAAAAGCAGCTGAAGACTCACCTGTTCAAGCTGGCTATGCTTAACATTTTTTAGTCACAATTGTCTATTTTTGCTCATTTTAAATATATTTTTAAACATTTTCTAAATGCTTTTTTTATTCTTACATTTTTTGCTTTTGTGAAGCGCCTCGTGATTTTTATCTTGAGAGGCGCTATAGAAAAGATTTTCTTCTTCTTCTTCTTCAGTCCAGGGTGTCCCCTCCTCTCACCTGATGACTTCTGCAGTTGGACATCAGCTCAGCTTGGCCCTACAGATGAAGAAGAGATGAGTGAGTGAAACTTGCTGAATTACTACTCCAGACCCTCAGCAGGCATCTGTTCTAATGAACACCGAAGAAACGTTTTTATTTATTGAGTCCGTCTCCTCCACCTACTTTAGTTTGCAGCTGGCCCAGCCACAGTGTGTACATTAAAACAACCTTTTCAGGAGCTGCTGTAGCAGTTTTTTTCTGCCTGAGCCTGATGACACAAGGCGAGCTTCACAAAACCCCTCTTCAGCCTTTTGACAGGCCTGAGTGACAGATAACGAGGAGGGAGGAAGAGGAGAGTGGACGAAGGCAGCCTCCATCTCTTGTTCTGTTGTTACCTCTCCCTCTTTACATCACAAGAATGTAAGTCTTTAAAGCCTCCACATCTGTGAGGAGCGACGGTTCGGGGATTTAAAAGCTGATCCTCCCCGCGTGAGTCGCAGACAGCCGCCCCACCTTCCTGCCTTCTTTCACTCTGCTGCATTGTGCTCAGACGCTCGCCGTATCGGTGCATTTTGAGCTGGTTTTTACTGAGCGATAAAAAGGGAGAGGAGGCAAGCTTTGTTTTAAATGAAGCTCAAATAAAAGCCTCGTGTCTGCGCACCGTTTATTACAACTGTTTGCTCTGCTAGGGTCACTGGATGAGTCACCGGCACCGGCCATGTGAACAGACAGCCACATTTCAGTACTGACGTGCTTTTATCTTGCTCATGTCACTGCTGATTCTCTTCTTAAGGTTTCACCTCCAGTGAGATGATTTTTGGACCCTCTTCTTCTCCAGTCAGAAAGTTTAAAAGCTAGAGCAGCTTTTTGTGTTGATTGGTGTTTTTAACACAAGGGGGCAGTAGTGGTAGCATTCAGCTCTGCAGTTTGACCTTTGGGTGTTTTATAGATTAAGTATCAGCTTGTTTCCTGTTTTTATGACTTTTCATGTGACATAGAAAATGTGATTTTATGAACAAATGAAGCATTCAGATGTAAATAGCTCAGATTTTGGTTTTTCTGAAGTCTGGCTGCAGCGGATGTGGTTTTAGAAACATGAATAAAATCAGGTTTTTTATATGCAGATGATAAAAACAGCTCAACAGTCATTGCAAGCAAGGAGGAAGACAAGCTAAAGAGCGTTTGTAAAAACAATCAAAGCGATGAAGAACATGCTTTTGGAGAAAACGTCTTGATCTGTTAATGACATCATCAGAATCAAACATGGGAAGAGTTGTCATTTCTATCAGTGCTTTCCTTGCAGATGACATGAAAGACATTCAGTAGAGGATGACGGTTTTTGATTTAATCCTAGTTTGCAAATATTTTATGTGCTTTGAAAGTATTGTCGAGTCAGATTGTCAGTGGTCTAAATTCAGTAACCCGTTCTCGAGGTCCACCTGCACTCGGCAGCAGCTTTTTAAGTTCATTAGTGAGTCTCTTTGGCTAAAAGCTTCTGCCAAATGCACGAACATAGACATAACAGAAAAAATGTATTATAAACTTTAGTAGGGATGTTCGATATCAGCTTTTTACCAGCATTGACGTCATCGTCTTCCTCCGCTTATCCGGGTCCGGGTCGCGGGGGCAGCATCCCAACTAGGGAGCTCCAGGCCGTCCTCTCCCCGGCCACCTCCACCAGCTCCTCCGGCAGGACCCCAAGGCGTTCCCGGACCAGATTGGAGATGTAACCTCTCCAACGTGTCCTGGGTCAACCCGGGGGCCTCCTGCCGGCAGGACATGCCCGTAGCACCTCCCCAGGGAGGCGTCCAGTAGGCATCCTGACCAGATGCCCAAACCACCTCAACTGACTCCTTTCGATCCGGAGGAGCAGCGGTTCTACTCCGAGTCCCTCCCGAATGTCCGAGCTCCTCACCCTATCTCTAAGGCTGAGCCCGGCCACCCTACGGAGGAAACTCATTTCGGCCGCTTGTATCCGCGATCTCGTTCTTTCGGTCATTACCCAAAGCTCATGACCATAGGTGAGGATTGGGACGTAGATCGACCGGTAAATCGAGAGCCTGGCTTTCTGGCTCAGCTCCCTCTTCACCACGACAGATGGGTTCAGCGTCCGCATCACTGCAGACGCCGAACCAATCCGCCTGTCGATCTCCCGATCCCTCCTACCCTCACTCGTGAACAAGACCCCGAGATACTTAAACTCCTCCACTTGAGGTAGGACCAGCATTGTTTCACCTCTTAATCTCTGGGATAAGCCGATACTAATATAGCAGGTTCTTCCTTATAGAAAAAGGAGAAATGTGACGCTAGTTACCTACAATTATTTTCATATCTACTGTCATACAATCTGAAACTTTAAACATTATTTATGCTAATTTTTACAGCTTCACTTTGAGTTAGGCCAGTTGTGCAGAGCAAAGACAAAACTCTCAAAAACTGAATCTCAGATCCATCATCTTTAGAGGAGACGTAGCTGAAGAGTTTGATGTGTGATGTGTGCATGGGAAGTAGAGCTTGTGTCATTAAAAGGTTAAAAACTGGTAACTTCTAATTTTATATCTTAACACCAATATCAACCAATTACATGTGACATCCTTAGTATATTTTGCTTTGTATTGACCAAATAAAACATTTTCAAGTTTAAACTTTTTTAAAATCTTTACTTTTTATATTGATCCTTACATTTGCTGTCATCACATATTTCAGTTTTTAAAAATAATTTCCAAATGTTTAATTTTTTCATTTACTTAGCATAAAAATTACAATATAGATTCTGAATTAAAAATTAATTTTATTAGCTTCTTTAAATTGCCTTATTTATTAAGTTTCACAGTAAAACCGTTGCTATGAGCCTGTAAACAGGAATTTGTTTGATCAGATTTATGTTTTGTCCTGCAGGTCCACCATCCTGCGGTGCATCATCCCTCCGTGTGTCCGCGGTTTCTGTCCCATATGAAAGTTCGTCCTGAAGACCTCCACCCTCCAAGTTTCCTGACGTCTGCAGAGCAGTTTCCGTCTCAGGCGAAGATAAAACATATCAAACCAATTTCTGCTCCAAAAACCCAAACTCTTGGTGAGTTTTGTCCAACCAATCCCAGCTGCAACAGGAAGAGGTGCTCACTGTTTTTCCTCACCTTCCCTTCCCGTCTTAGCAGCCATGGCAGCGGCCACCCTGTTTGCCATCAGCTTAATCTACACGTATGGTTCTGTGTCAATGTGGCCTGAGCTCTGGGGGGAGGGAGTGCCCACAGCGCCGCCCTGCTGGCGGTCATCTGGTTGAACTGTTCAGTGAAAGGCTTTTTTTCCCCAAGGAGACCTGCCGCTCTTTTTAAACCTTCTGATGTGAAGGCATTTGTCCCCGCTCACACCTCAGTACCACAGCAGGGTGTGTGTGTGTGTGTGTGTGTTAGGTGGTGGTACTTCTCAACACTGAGGTCTAATTCTAATTATTCTGCCATATGGTCACTGGCTCCCTCACAATCAGCCTTAACCCTCCTCCCTGAAGAAACGTGCTGCGCCCAATGCCACGGCTTTGCACTCTGACACATGTCATTCATATGCACATTAGTACACACACACACACACACACACACACACACCAGTTCATGTACACTTGTGTGTGTGTGAGTATAACAGATGGGATTGGCAGCCTATTGTAGGAAGGAGTGCAGAAATGTGCCCTTCACTGTCTTGACTCCTCCGAGCGGGAGAGCCCCAGGAAACGAGAGCAGATTGTTTGACACCCTTCACCCCTGCAGCCCCTCCGCCATCGCTGCCACACAGAAACACACAACGATCAGCAAAACAAAAACTAGTAAGAGGATGGAGAGGAAGTGGGTGGAGCTGAACAGATTCAAAGTCAGCAGAAGAAAACCACAGAGGAATGAAGGGTTTCTTTCAGCTTTCAAACAAAACAATTCATATTTAGATTGTTTCTCAAGCAGAACACGACTCCTGTGTTGTTAAATATGTGTTGTATGCATGGTGGCGCAGTGGTTAGCACTGTTGCCTCTCAGCACGAAGGTCACAGGTTCGAAACTCGGCTGCGGCCTTTCTGCGTGGAGTTGCGTGTTCTCCCCATGCATGCGTGGGTTTCCTCCAGGTACTCCGGTTTCCCCCACAGATCACAACATGCCCTATAGGTTATAAATTGTAAGTCGCTTTGGATAAAAGCGTCTGCCAAATAAATAAACATAATAATAATAAATAAGCACCTCAAACAATCACCACCCTCCAGTAAACTTTATTCATCCCCGCCAGAGACATTTCCTGAACACACGTTGCAGCTGAAAGCATGCGGCACACCTGCAAGCGACCTGTAAAGCTGCGTCTGTTAGCTGCGGTGAAGTTTGCTGCTAGGCGATTTCGCGCTGCCTTTGTTAGCAGGCTGGCCCACTCAGCAGGGAAACAGTTGTTAGCTGCACAACTGGAGGAGAGAGGGAGTGAAAACGTCATGAGCAGGAGTTTGGTCAGAACCCCTGCTTCAAGTCAGTTTTGATAAAAAATATAATAAAATGTGTTTTTATCTTCATTAAAGGGGACCTTCACCTTGGTGGAGGACTGAAATGTGAGCAGGATGTGACGGAGGGAAGTCGCTCTGCTGCTGATGCTCCTCACCTCCAGCTCCCTGCCACCCCGACACCATCCAGCCGCAGTCCAACGCCTCTCCGACTCAAAACTCCTCCACTTGACTCTGAAATACATCAAAACAAAACAAACATCATGCGAACAACGGAAACTCTTCCTCTTCCTTCGAATGTTCCTCCCCTACGGGACGGATCTGGAGCCTCTGAGAGGGAAAAGGTGCTGCAGCCTGCTGTGGTGGAGCCGGACATGGATCTTAGCTTCGGACCTTCCAGATCAACACCAACCTCCCCCTCCACAGGGTCACTGTCAGACTTCAGCCGTCCACCTTCCAGTTTATTCAGCCGGAGCACCGACCTCTGCAGCGGCCGGAGTAGCGTCCCGAGTCGCTACACCACTGGTAAAAGTTCACATCTCTAGGGCAGATGTTTTAGAGCTCGTTGCCCGTGACCAAAGTTCTCCTCTTGTTTTTGCAGGAGAAACTGACTCGGCAGCAGAGAAATGCGTTTCTTCCTCCACACATCAGCTTTCTACAAAGAAGCAGGCATCTCTGGCCGCTTTGACACCAACATATTCGCACCATGAAGAACCCATTAACACCAGCACCTCCACGCCTTCACCCACTGATCAGCTTTGTGATCAGCCAACGCCCTGTTCTGTTCGCCAACAAACACCGGCCATCCAGCCTGGTTCAGATAAACCTCTGAGCAGCAGAAAAAGCACGAGAACAACAAAAAACGTGGACCTAAACACATCTACGGAGCCTTCTTGTAACCAGACCTTGTCTTCTGATAGAAGTTGTGCTACGTCTGCGTTTCCTTCCACCGCATGGTCTTCCAGCACTAGTCCACGGGCTGCTTCCTGTTCAGCACTACTAGCAACGATGACCCCCGCTCCTCCATCGTCCCGGCTGGAGTCACGCCGCTGGCCCGTCCTGCCTCCCATCTCTCCTGTCAGAGGTGAGACAAGGACCATTCACACCCTCAAACCCACTTTCTTCTCTTTGTTGTCCTCAGCGTGGGTGGACATCCCATCTGAGACAAAGAGACGGAGCCTTAGAGTTGCTGACACCACCAACCTAAAAATGACCAGTTTTTCCTTTTCTTCCATATCAGGAAGAGAAAAGAGGGCATTTGATGGAAAGCTGGTGCCATCTGATTCCCCGTTCAAAGGCGTGGGGCCCCCAACAATCAAGGCTGGGGTCTCCACCTCATGTGCCTTGGCTCCCCGATGCTTTCGCCATTCTCTTGGATCTGAGAGGTAGACCTGAAGCTGATGGTCATAAATCCACACTGACCACTGCTCGCTGAGGGCAAAACACTGAGCGGAACCGCCACAATAGAATACCTCTGTGGCTTTCCTGCAGCTGCTAATTCACCGTTCCCAATGGGGATAAAAGTTAGGGCCGCTGACATCTGACTTCTCCAGGAACTTTATGAAAGAAAGCAAACAAAGTGGAAATTGTGTAGGGATTTTCTCCTTTCTGTGAGAGACATCTACTGTTCTCTGTGGTGCTGTGCTGGCGGGGTCACACTCTGTATCGCGCCATGCTGTTCTCTTCACCGCAGACACAGAACAAGTGTCACCAGTTCATTTATTTCACTGCAGATGGAGGCAATTCAAGTTCAACGTGCTCTCAGTGTGGAAGCGTGCAAAGCTCCGAGACGACTTCCCTTTATTAACAGATCGGCCCTTTTCTGGTTTAAATGTCACGTCCGTCAGCTGTAAAGTACAAAAATAACAAGTAAAATATATATTTTAAAAGATTTTAAATGACCTTAAGTGTCAAGATCAGAACTAGGAGGACCCGTGATGACACCAGACGCAGTAAGACGATTAACAGTCTTTATTAGCCTGAAGCTACGAGGAGGTGTTTACCAGAGTGATACTCAGGTAGGCGAAGGCAGGCGTGGGTCAAAACCAGACCGAGGCGAAGCAGGTACAGGGAGCAGGCGAGAGACGTGGTCGTAGACAGGTGAAGGCCGTGGTGGCAGGCAGAGTACTTGGCGATGGTCAGACGTGGAAACGAAGTCGAGAGACTATGATCAGGCAGGAAAACAAGAGACTGGAAGATCTTCTAGCAGGAGGAGCGTTCAATAGTCTGGCACTGGCTTGGTGTTGGACCAGGAGTCTTATAAGAAGCAATGCAGGTGGAATTTCCTCACGTTACATGGCCCATCAAGACTCACTCTCATTTCATCAGTCCATAAAACCTTAGAAAAATCAGTCTTGAGATATTTCTTGGCCCAGTCTTGACGTTTCAGCTTGTGTGTCTTGTTCAGTGGTGGTCGTCTTTCAGCCTTTCTTACCTTGGCCATGTCTCTGAGTATTGCACACCTTGTGCTTTTGGGCACTCCAGTGATGTTGCAGCTCTGAAATATGGCCAAACTGGTGGCAAGTGGCATCTTGGCAGCTGCACGCTTGACTTTCCTCAGTTCATGGGCAGTTATTTTGCACCTTGGTTGTCCACACGCTTCTTGCGGGTCCAGGTCGTGGGGGCAGCATCCCAACTAGGGAGCTCCAGACCGTCCTCTCCCCGGCCACCTCCACCAGCTCCTCCGGCAGGACCCCAAGGCGTTCCCGGACCAGATTGGAGATGTAACCTCTCCAACGTGTCCTGGGTCGACGCGGGGGCCTCCTGCCGGCAGGACATGCCCGAAACACCTCCCCAGGGAGGCGTCCAGGAGGCATCCTGACCAGATGCCCAAACCACCTCAACTGACTCCTTTCGATCCGGAGGAGCAGCGGTTCTACTCCGAGTCCCTCCCGAATGTCCGAGCTCCTCACCCTATCTCTAAGGCTGAGCCCGGCCACCCTACGGAGGAAACTCATTTTGGCCGCTTGTATCTGCGATCTCGTTCTTTCGGTCATTACCCAAAGCTCATGACCATAGGTGAGGATTGGGACGTGGATCGACCGGTAAATCGAGAGCCTGGCTTTCTGGCTCAGCTCCCTCTTCACCACGACAGATCGGCTCAGCGTCCGCATCACTGCAGACGCCGAACCAATCCACCTGTCGATCTCCCGATCCCTCCTACCCTCACTCGTGAACAAGACCCCGAGATACTTAAACTCCTCCACTTGAGGTAGGACCTCTCCCTTGACCCGGAGTTGACAAGCCACCCTTTTCCGGTCGAGAACCATGTATCAGATTTGGAGGTGCTGATCCTCATCCCTAGACTAGAAAATTACAAAGAATAAATTGAGATGTTGCTCCAAAAGAGTGGCAAAAATAACTAGAATGATCTCTAAATGGTTTCATAAAGAGGTTATAAAAGAACTGACCTCCGTCATCATTCTCTCACATTTCTGACCGTCTGAGAGTGACCCCTGAGCTGACCTGTTGTCAGTAACATCTCCATGGTTTAACTGTCTCAGATGATGAATCAGGGCACTGTCCTGAACTGGCCTGGCCTCTCCTCTCAGGGCCTTTCAGCCCGGCTCTGTGACCAGGAAAACAGGAGCCACAGGCGCACAGAGGAGGTGTTGTACCCCCCTCCTCTCAGCGACACCCTTAACCTCTCTGAAAAACTCGTCGGCTCAGAGCGACAGCCTGGTTGACAGGAGCAATATGCTTTGAAGTGTCCAGTCAAGTTGTCGCATTGTCTTTCAGAGCAGAGCTCAAGGGCACAATGGTGCAGCGGTGCGTGTTGGCCGTCGTTCACATACTTGACTTTGTGAAGGTGGCTTCGTGTCTACATTCACCACGTGGGTCGACTGAGAGTTTGTGCCTCTGTATATATTTTCCTTTTGTCTGTGCCAAAGCTCTTGTGCATATCTAATGTGAGAAAAAAATACACCACACAGTAAACCAGTTTCCCCAACTAATCCTCTGGTTTTTACACAAGAGTGGGGGAACAGTTGTGATTAGCTTTCTAACTTGTCCTCAGAGTGAGGTCTAATCTTTTGGGGCCTGTAGGGCAGAATTTCTTTCTCATGAGTCTAAGGCCCTGTCCACACGTAGCCGGGGATCTGCCAAAACGTATTTTTCTACGTTTTGGCCTGTCATCCACACGAAAACGGAGTTTTTTCACACAAAAACGGATCTTTTTAAAAACTCCGGCCAAAGTGAAGATCTGCGTTTTCTCCGTTTTGGGTGTCTGCGTGTGGACAGACAAAACCGGAGTTTTAAGGTCCGCAACGTCACTTTCCGCGACAAAAAAATGCTGACATCACGTGTGCGACCTGTGTTTACACTAGCCGACAGCATGGATGCCCTCAGAGCTGCGCTCGCTTTATCAATCGTCCGAGCGCTTTTTGCTTGTTTGTTTTTGCGAGCGGAATTACTGCTCCTTGCGGAAGACCACAGACGAAGGATGAGGTTAAGAACGGGGGAAGTACTGCCGCCTACAGGTCTGGCATGTCCTTAACAACGTATTTATCCGGGTACGTGTGGACAGAGTTTTTTTTTAAACGAGGTGGTGTGGATGCATTTTTGGAGGGGCGGATATTCGTTTTTAAAAACCCCGGCTACGTGTGGACTAGGCCTAATTTTGTTTTCTGAGGGTTGATGGTCTCATTATCTTCAGATCTTCATACCTAAGAGAGCAAAACAACTCGGAGAAGAGCTTAAAATGTAAAAATGTTGTTGCAGTAAAAAATCTTCCTCTGCTTCTTTGTGAATTTGAAATTTCAAGGGGCTGTTTGACCTTTTCACATAAATGTCATCGATAAACCAGATGAATAGTGATATCCAGAGAAGTTGGAGGGAGAAGGCAACTGTTAGCCTTCAGGTCGTATGGATCCATCATGGTTGTAGGAGCTAACACCCACCTGTGGAGTGATTGGCCAGCTGAAGTTCCCGCCTACATACACAGAGAGAGCCTCTGATTGGCGTGGGCAGAATCAGCCAGCGGCGTCTTCCCACGTGCGTGATTCACTGGGAATCTGGATGCATTGGGGTAAACATCTTCTCTGACTGCAGCTCAGAGCGAGTGGTGCAGCTCGATGACTGACTGTCTGCTGTGAGTGCTCTTGGATGGGAGAGGAGCCCACAACAGCACCGCTGCTCCACGAGAAGAGGATGCTGTGCGCTTCATGACAGAGTCTGACAGTCTGAGCAACACTGCTCACGACTGCTTTTGCTTACGAACTTGTGGACACCACACACTTCTCTGTGCCACTATAGCAGAGCCCGCCCATGTCCTAGCCCACATCCACGTTCCTGAGAAGGCTGTGTAAACACAACCTTGCCACCAGGCTGTCCCCATCCTGCCCAGGCAGAGCTGACCTAAGTGTAAAAAGGCCATTAGCTAAAAAAGGATCTCTGGTATGTTTGCTAAGTTTCTCGGAATAAAGTATCTGCTCTGTTTTCAACTTTTTGTCCATTTTGATTCTAAAGATCAGAAAGCAATGCCATCATATTGTGTTTGCCCCTCGTTTCTTAGTCATTTTACCTCCACTCGCCATCCAAGATGGCGTTGACGGTTGTTTTTGTCACATGACAGATAAACACAGGTTGAAAAATCTAGCTAACTCGGACCAGGGCTGATTTAATAGAAAGTTTCCACCATGGAAAATGACCTGTATTTAATATAGCACCTTCTAGAGTCCTGCCCCCCCCCCCCCCCCCCCCACCACCACCACCACCACCCCCCGAGACACTTTACAACACAATCAGTCATTCACACCATATGAACAAAAACATCCTAGTTGTTTGAGATTGTGATTTATTTGATTTTTAATTTTTGTGCTTTTTTACCTTTTGCATCACAATATTTTTAACGCCATCACTCTGACCCCAGCGTTCTGCCAGATGTGGAAGCTGAATCAGGAAGCATTCTCCAAATTTGGTATTTTAATTCAAACCTTAAAGTTTTTGTCCAAATCACAACTCAAACATGCAGAAGGATGTCTGCCGGATGAGATAATGCTATTTTTTAATGATTACATCTACTCTGTGTTGTTGCAGGATGCTCAGCAGCCTCCCGCTGCTCTGAGATCAGCTGCAGTCAGTCTCATATGTTTGATGAACTGGAAGCCATCACTCCTCCCTCAGCTTCCTGCTTGTCTCTGGACCAGCTGTCAGACTCTTCAGCTTCTGACTCACCTCATACAGGTAACAGTAGTTACCTAGTTTGATCTATTAATGTGTATTATTCATGAAGACAAACAGAAGTATGAATGTCATTCAAACTTGTTCTGGTTTCTTTTGTCCAAATATGATTACTTGCAGCCATTAGAAGGATAAAAACCGAGTTTTAACTTCCTGTCAGGGTGAAGTAATGATAAAGTCCAATAGAATTCACCTTTCAACCTTTCTAGGAATCAACATATTGTCCAGAAGCTACATTTATCTGTTAATTTGGCCTCTTTCTGCTTCTTTTGTTATTCAAACACATAAAATTAAAGCAAATGTGGATTCTTTTAGCCACAAAAAGGCAATTTGTTTTTCTCAGACTGACAAGTGTTGTGCCTGTCCTCTTTAGATGCAGACACAGGTTATCTGTGTTTGTGCTGCAAATTCTAATGGGCTTTATCACGTTTCACCTTGACAGGAAGTTTTCATCCTTCTAATGGCTGCAAGTAACATCTGATTTTTAGTGAGCGCTCCTTTTTCTGTTGACGATGCGTTTATCGGAGCACTCACTCCGGCCGGTCTTTGTTAGCTTGACAAAAGCAAAAGTTAATGTGATGTGCGAGTGTTTATGTCTTGTTAGTATGCATGTGTGTGTCCTGGAGGTACTGCAGAGAGAATGAAGACTTCCTCCATCTCTCTCGCTGCCTGCTAATCCCCGTCAAGGTGTTAACCTGCTCGCTTGACCTGAACCCTTGCACGACCCCAGAGGCCTTTGGCCCCGAGGATGTGGAAGGATCAGTGTGGCTGCTGCTACAGCGAGCAGGGTGATAAAATCTGCTCTGGGTCTAAGCCAGGAGCTGAGCTAATGCTCCACACTGATGTTTGTCCCACTGACGTGCAGCACAATTTAGATTCCTGCTGTTGATTTGAGGCTTCACTGAGCAGAAGATGTTATAAATAAAAATATGTTTTAGCAGGCTAAATCTGAAAAGGACCAAACATTTTGGGGAGGATTTGTGCATGCCCAGTAAAAGAGTACTAAAGGAAAGGACAGGAAGTGGATTTTGGTGTCTGGCCATTTGTCTGAGGGTGATAGCCTGACGACAGGCTGAAGGACATCTCGTTCAGCTAGCGAAAGCCTTCCAAAAGCAGGCTGTGAACTGGGACTCCCAGTCAAACACCACGTCCGTGGGGAAGCCATGGACGCACACCAGGTGCTCCAGGAGTAGCTCCGCAGTGCATCGGGCAGTGGGGAAACCCGGAAGGATGACAAAGTTGGCCGATTTGGAAAACCTGTCCACTACTGTGAGGATGGAATTGAGGTTGTTGATGGACGGAAGCCCAGTGACAAAGTCTAGCCCCACGTGTGACCACGGATGCTGGGGAACAAGTAGAGGCTTGAGTGTCCCAGGAGTGAGTTGACTGAAGCGGGCGCAGACATCGCAGGCACCAGTGTAGTCCTTGACTTTCTTGGCCATTCCCGGCCACCAGAGGGCCCGCCGCCAAAACTTAAGGTTACGGGAAAACCCAGCATGGCCTGACAGGAGAGAGGAGGAGTCACCCCATGGCAGTGCCTCTCTGAGGCAGGAGTAGGGCACGTAGAGGCGGTTTGTGGGCACCTTGGCTGGTGCGAGATCGTCTCGAAGTGCGGCCTGGATGGAATCTTCCATGGGCCAACCCAGGGAGGCCAGGAAGTATCGGAGCGGGTTCAGGGGGTGCTACTGCTGCTGAATAGTTGGACGGGGGGTTAAAGTTGTAGTCAGGATTCAAAATTGATTCTAAAGCTATTGGTGCAGAGTTCTGGACCAACTGAAGGCAATCAATGGCTTTTTTGTTAAAACGTGAAAATTGTGTTACAGTAATCTAGACAGGAGGAGATAAAGGCACGGATGACCATTTCAAGTTCATGTTTTGACACCAACCTTCGCAGTTTGGAGATATTTTTTGATTGAAAAAAACAGTTTTGAACCACTGTTTTTGGAGAGACATTGATTGGTTAAAAACAACAACCAAATTCCTCAAGTTTGACTTGATGTCAGAAGATAAACGACTAAGTTGTTGACTAATCCATGCTCTCAGGGCCAATAATCAGACATTCAGTCTTTTCAGAGTTTATCTTCTAACCAGCTGGTGATAGCTGATAGACACTCTAGTAGTTCAGACAGTTTATAGAACTCAGAATCCTTAAAGGAGCATAACAGCTGAATGTCATCTGCATATACATGTAGGCGATAAGAGACATTATGAAAAGAATCAATTATCTGTCCAAGAGGGTGTTTGTACAAGAGTGGACCCAAAACAGAGCCTTGGGGTACCCCACAGAACAGATTGGTAGAATCTGACATGATTTGGTTTATACAGACACTGTAAGAAATGTATGATCTAAACCAGTCTAGAACAGTTCCAGAGATCCCCACCGAGTCTGTTAATTAAGATACTGTGATCAACAGTGTCAAAAGTTGCAGAAAGATCTAACATGACTGGGAATTCACCATCTGCAGCCATCAGAATGTCACTAGAAACTTTAAGCGAAGCTGTTTCTGTTGAATGTTTTTTGCAAAAATCAGAGAAGTTTCTATCTTAACTGTCATGTAGTTCCAGAAAATTAATCAGTTTATCGGCCTCAACTTTTTCAATGTTGCTGGTGGTGGTCGGAGGGACCGGTGGCGCCTGTGCTCGGCAGCCTCACCTCTGTCAGTGCGCCCCAGGGCAGCTGTGGCTACATTGTAGCTCATCCCCACCAGTGAATGACTGGTTGTGTTGTAAAGCGCCTTGGGGGGTTCCAGGACTCTAGAAGATGCTCTATCAAATACAGGCCATTTACCATTTTTTCAAAAATTTTAGAGTTAAAGGGCAATTTAGAAATGGGTCTGTAAATTTTAGGCTGAGAGGAGTCCAAGCTGGGATTTGAACCTTATTTCATCATTTTTAAAATTTTAAGGTTTCGGTTTGATGAAGCTGGTTTTAATCTCATTGTTAGTTTTTGTGAGATTCCAGTAACTTTTGCAAAATATTCTGTGAAAACATTGAATCAGAATCATATTTCTGCATCTCTAAGTGGGTGGTGGCTTTACATTAACACAGGATCAGTTCACTGTTGTCCACCAAAATGTTTCCTAATTGTTTTGATTTGGAATCTTGTTTCTGCGTGCGGCTAATGACGGGACTTATACCAGACCCAACGGAAAGGGTGTCCCGCCACATTGTGTTACCACCACCGTTATCCCAGGGATTTCCTCTCAACGACTCCTTCATTTATCAGCAGGGACAACAGTTCCTACTTCTCACCTGAGGGATGCACTTTATGAGCTCCCAACGGAAAACACTTAACAGAAGAGCTGGAGCAGCTTGACACCGCACAACCCGGTTGGGGCAAACCCAGAACCTTCCTCCTTTGATGTGGAGTGTTTTCTGGATTGTCTCTCTCTCTCTCTCTCTCTCTCTCTCTCTCTCTCTCTCTCTCTCTCTCTGTGTGTGTGTGTGTGTGTGTGTGTGTGTGTGTGTGGTGGTGGTGGTGGTGGTTCTTTGCAGCAGAGCGTGTTCTGTGAAATCCCCTCAGATTGGAAAGGCAGCCCCACACCCTGCCAGCGTGGGCCGGGGATTTGCATGGGCAAGGAGCCACAGTGTCACTGATCCACTTTTAATTGGGTGTGACGATGAGAACTTTGGAGTGGCGGTGTGTGTGTGTTTGAGTGTGTAAGGGAGGATTTGGGTCACACTGGTATGGAATTTCATAGTAATTAAACTAATTTCAACAGTTAAAATTACTTTAGAAAAACCTAATGGTCCTACCTGTCGACTGCAATATTCACAAGAAGCAAACATCCTCCATTCAAATATTTTATACGGTCAAATTTGAAATATCTGAGCAGCTTTTCAGTTTATTTAATGATTTTATGTAGAAAGAAATCCTCAGCTGCATAAATCCCAATTGTTTTTAGTAGTTTTTAAGTGTTTGTTTTAATGAAAAGGCTGGTGTTATTTTGTACTTTTGGCTTTTCTCCATTGAAGAACTGAAAGGATTCCGAACACAACGGCCGAAGCTCCTTCCTGTTGGATCTTTCGTTGGAAAAAAGAAAATTACATTTTTACTTGGGAATGTCCCAATCCACTCCTCTATGCTTATCGTCCACCACCAACGCACAGACGACATATCTGTTAGTGTACGAGTTTGTCAGCAAAGCCAAGGCTAAACTTCTCCACCATTTAAAAAGTGATCTTAGCTTCAACTTCTGACTTGTTTCATCACAATATTTGATAGATTATAGTATAACCTCCCGGTAGAGCTGCACAACATATCGTAAATACATCGTTATCGCGATATTAGCATGCACAATATGCATATCACAAAGAACAGATAAATATCGCTCAAATGTTTGCTAAACATAATGCATTCTGTCAATCAAACAGGAACATGATGTTTTTTAACAAACCAAATAGAGCTCTTCTTCACCCATTTGGCCAAATGGATGGGTTCTCATAGGTCAGATGCCTTAATTTTGATGGTTAGCAAACACCTGAGTTAGCTTTGTTCCGCTCTTTCTGCTGATTCTGCTTTTCCCGGGATCCACTGATTACCTTTTCTTTTTCCCTTTCCTCACATCTGTTGCTATTTCTCATTTTTATTATTTTTTTATTTCTTTGTTCATGATTATATTTGTTCCTGAGTTAAGTTCTCATTTATCTCAAGTAATATCGTCATCGCAATATTAATCACAGTTATCGCATATCGCCGGTTTTCCTAATATCGTGCAGCCCTACTCTCTGGTGAGGTTTTCCGGGCACGTCCAACCGGGAGGAAGCCTAAAGGGAGACCCAGGACACGGTGGAGGGACTATCTCTCTCACCTGGCCAGGGAATGCCTTGGGATTCCCCCGGAAGAGCTGGCCCAAGTGGCCGGGGAGAGGGAAGCCTGGGCCTCTCGACTTAGGCTGCTGCCCCCGCGACCCGACTCCGGATAAGCAGAAGAAAATGGATGGCTGGATAATTAACTTCTTGCAGAACCTTGATGCTGTGATGCTTACAGTAGCAAAAATAAGTTAACAGTTTTATTAAAGCTAAAGGCCATTAATGTCATTTTAACACGTTTATGGTCTCCTGCAGAGCTGTCTCCCGGCCTCGCTGCACTGACGGTGGGTTGCGATTCCGGAAATCTGGGTTCCTTATCCCGAGTCCAGCTTCTCCTGTTAGATCGGCCGGCAGCGGAGACCTTGATGAGTCCTTCCTCTTATGAGATGTTCTCCCCAGTTCCAGAGTGGACGGACCTGATGGCCTCGTGTAACCATCCAGGGGTGACGTCTGCAGGTACAGCTCTACAGATGAATGAAGCCACGTGACACTAATGCTAACCCAAAAAATACCAGCTGGTTTGGTCTGAAAACCTACAACTTATTATCAGGAAAACAGCAAATCGTTATTTTTCTTGTAAGAAATAACAAAAATGTGTTTAACAAAAGTAGGTCTGGATATTTTGAATGTAAACAAAAATGTTTGTGTGATTCCATGGAATGTGTAACACTAAGTAAATACAATCCTAGAAAACCATCCGTGTTAAACCTCTAAAGTTGCATTTCTGCTAACTTATAAAACCTTATTTGGACCAAACTCATGCAAGACTGTCTGACAGTTTGAAAGAGATCGTTTGATAAGCAAAAACCGTCGCCTAAATAACTGGAAGCAGTCAGACAGGTGTGTCCAAGTTTGTGTGTATAAATGTCAGAGAAAACACACTTGACCCTGTGTGTGTGTGTGTGTGTGTGTGTGTGTGTGTGTGTGTGGTGGGGGTGAAAACATTACTGTGTTTTCTCTGCAGTCGTCCTTGAGCGTAAATGATGCTTTTATTGCATCGAGCACCTTTTTCTTTTTAACGAGCGGCGATACAGTCCCTCATGCTCCCAAGCGTGCCGCTACCAGCTCCTAACTGCTTTTCCCTGAAGGCGTGGCAACTCGCAGGGAAGGTTTATAGGGATATCAGGATGTTCCACATTAATAAAGATCAAACCGCTGCAGTGGATCATTAACAGGGAAACTCCAACCAAGATAGCTGGAGACACTTAAAACCGAGCAACAAGCCCACGATAACGGGATAAGGAACCGAGACGAGTGTGTGCTCAGAGCTCAATTAGCCTCTCGGCTGTTGTTTAGAGTCTGATAAACGCGTCACAGGTGAGATAAGGATCACAGGCGTTTAAAGGTTTGTTGTTTGCAGGATCACTAGTAAAATAAGCTAATGTTAGATTCATTAGCTAGTTTAAAGAATTCTAACCGAGCGATGTTTGCTTACCCCACTGGCAGATTTTTTTTTTGTCAAAACAAGAAAATTTGGATCATATTTAAGAATAGTTTCCTCCTTTTTTACGTAATGCTTATTTTCTAAATAATATTTTTTTTCTTTTAGACTAAAAATACGATGAAATGCTTAAAAAATAGCCATTTTTACTTCATGGAAAAGCAGTTTATGCAGTGAGGAAATTGGGTTTACACCCTAATGCAGCCATGAACCAATTATTTTGCCCAAGAAAAGTATTTCTTTTATATAAAATTTTACAAATATAAATAACAGCAACGGCCGAAGGCAGTCAGGTCTACGTTTTGGATTTAGGATCCATGAGTCGCGATTTAGGAATCAAGATTTAAGATTTGGGATCCAGCCATCTAACGCAAACTTGATGAGGTCAGAACTGTTTTAAATTGGCCGAGCTCGGACTAGCTGGTAGCTTACCGATCCTGAACAGAGCTGAACCGTGTTATTTTTGAGCATCGCCACCACCACCTCATTCAGGTGTGTGAGAATCCCATCGTAGGTCTTACTGTGATGTCAGAGGCGTGTTCTCATCTGATGTTAACGGTACCTGAAACTCAGAGATCCACCAATCACAACCGTTCTTCCACAGTTTGAAGAACCCAGAGGTGGGAATTTTTTATTACTTCAACTCGGAAACACAAAAAATATTTCTGATATCCTTCTAACATAAATATATGTCATGGCTCGAGGTAAGTGCCTAACCCAAGACATGCAGAATCATCACACAAGTCCAAAGCAGTAAAGTAAAAATGTCTTTATTATAAACGGTAACTGAAAACCACAACAGGGAAGTCCTGCGCTGAGGAGCCAAGACGGCTCGGGTCTCTGAAGTGTTCAGGTTGAATGATGAGGGGAAGGGAAGCCGGGAAGGACGCTGAGCAGAGGGTGAGAGATTTCGTAGGAGTGAGGCAGCAGAGGGAAGTCCGAGCAGGAACGGCGGAGGAGGACGAGACGTGTTGAATAATTCCAGAAGTGAAGACAGCGAGGGTGAGAAGATGACGAGGTGATCCTGAGCGAGACAAACAGGGGTAAGGGATAATCCAAATCCAAAAATTCAATCCAAGGTCGATAATCCAAAAGTCGAAGGCGAGTCAAAACACGAGTTAACAAATTTCAAGGTTTCAGAATCGAGTTCCTGGTGCTACCTGAACTGGTACAATCATCCGGCAAAATGAAGTGTCTCCGTCCTCCTTTTAAACCCGCGTTCCTGATTAGGGAATCGTCTGCAGCTGTAGTTCCCTCTGCTCCCCACCTGCGGAGAATGAACTCAGATTCTGGTGAGAGGAGATGGTGGAACTCACCTCTGCTCAGGGACATGACAATATATTGTGGAGATTAAAATGAAAACAAAAAAATTAACAAAGTGGTTCTCTCACATCCGTCTAAAAACCTCCACCAATAGCACGGCTCGGACTGAAGCCAACTATTGGAAAATCGGGTTGTCGGCATCACTGAACCGCCAAACTTCCCTGGGTCCTTCACTCAATACACACTTGTGTATTCAGCAGCAGAACACCACCAGTGTGAGAGGTTCTCCTCTCAGTAGAATCAGAGAAGGAGAAACAGCCGGCTGCTACCACTTCTACTTTAGGACAAGCTACCAGAGTCCCGAAAAGAAAAACACCATTCCAAGTCACGGACACCAAAAGAAGTTTGGACCTAGAAAACAGTGACTGGTGTTTAGCGCTATCTCGTTTCCTCTGGCAGTGCTGGTTTCAGTTCTGGCAGACATGGCCTGGGGATGGTAGCCGATGGAAGGGTGAGAGGTCTAAGAAATGTTCGCCTGCTATTTAAAAGGTTTAAGTAGTTTAAATAAAATAAAATAAAGCTGCCTTAAGTTAATAATGGCAGTACAGGTTAGATTAACCAGGAGCAAACTGTGTGTTTGTGTCACCAAAGACTAAAAATCTAGTCCACGTTGTCTGTTTGGTGTTGACACAACTCTGGTTCATCCCTCAAGTTAAAGAGGCATTATGGAAGTTTGACAGCCAAAACATGTTTAGAAATAATAAATGTCTTCTTCATCAGTGTTGGGAGTAACGTGGTACAAAAGTAATTAATTACTGTAATGCATTGCTTTTTGCTGTAATGTGGTAATGTAAGGCATTACAGGGAAAGAAAATGGTAATATTTACTCGGTACAATTGTCAGTAACGCGGTAATTATAATGCATTTTTAAACCCAGAATCAAGCTGTGGTTTTCCTAAAAATTAAAATTGCGGAAAGGTCTAAATAAAGGTCAGGTATCTTCATATATTAAGTCATTTATGGACTCCGCTTTGCGGGCATTCTATGAGCAGAGAGGACGCAGCGGTGACGGCTCAAATACTCCAGCTGCGTCCTGCGCACAGCGCGCGGCCGCTGTTATATTCACAAAATCGCTCCAACAAAATAATTCACTTGCGATCGTTCATATCAGCCCATATTCTCTGTACTTCTGTACTTTACTGACGTGCTTTGCCTCAGCTGAGTTCATAATCTGTGCCCTCGCCCGGTGATTTCAACTCATTACTGCTGGAGCGCCGCGCATATGAAGCTTTTTTTTTTTTTTTTTTTTTTTTTTTTTTTTTTTTTTTGCGTTCAGTAGATCCCTTTGGCTGATTAGTTAGAAAGTAGGAAGTCTAGGAAACAGTTTTTCTGGAAGACGGAGAAAACATGCAGCATGCAGGAAGGTGAGAGAGAGAAAGGGCCGGAAATTATTCAAATAAAATCAAGAAAACAAAACAAAGTGCTTGAAAAGAAAATATAAGTGGGTAGTTTTGTCCCCAATACACATTTTTACCAGTGAAAAGCAATAAAATATAAGCATTTAATATTTATACATGTGATAGAATCAGATCACCCCAGAAGTCAGTCCCACATCCAGGGCCGTATCAAGGCATTTGGGGACCAAGGCAAAATAGGTTTGGAGCCCCCACCACCTCACATCCTTCTCAGTTAATCTAAGATGGCAGCGTGCTGAGAGTACAGATTGTTGTTGCTTTTATTTAATAAAGAACTGTTATTATATCTGACTGTTTTTAACAGCAATGCTCAGACACCACATCTTCTTCCTCTGGATGTGTCATGAGTTCACTGAGCATCGCATGACCTAATTCATATTGAAATTGTTTTGGTAAAAGTAACTTAAAGTAATGCAAAAGTGGTGTAATGCCTTACATTTTAAAATCAGTAATATTATAATGTAATTAATTACATTAAAATGAGGATAACAAGTAATAAATAATGCATTACAGTTTTGAAGTAACTTGCCCAACACTGTTCTTCATACATTCTCCTGCAATGCCCTGGTCCTGTAGAATGAGCCCTGGTATTTTTACTGTGATTGCCTGTTTTTCTGTAAATTACAGAAAAAGAGAGATGCTCGGGTCGAGCAGGCTGCTTCATGTGCGTACACGCTCAGGCATAGCCCGTAGCATTTGCTATCAGTAGCTTTAGCAGCAGAGAGAGAGGCAGTGCCACTTTGTCGCTGTTCCTAACGCCTAGTGACA